ATAAAATTGACCTGGAAAACCAAGGCATATACGAAGTCCCCTGTGCATCATGCCCGGCCACATACATTGGACAGACCAATAGAAGAATAAGCACCCGCCTGGATGAACACAAAAATGCAGTCAAAAAGCTGGAACACACTTCCTCACTAGTCCAACACATGGAAGCCACAGGTCATAGCATCAACTTCAATGGCACCAAAACCCTGGCCACTATAGAAAACCCTAATCACAGAATCATCAGAGAAGCCATAGAGATTGAAAAAAGACCAGAAAGCATGAATAGAAGAGATGATTCCACCAGGCTGTCAATCATTTGGAAGCCTGCACTCACAAACAAAAAAATCTCCACACCACAAGCCAGGCAAACACCTGGGCACAAACAGATCCCCCCTGATACCTCCAGCTCAAACACATCCCAACCAGGCACCCAGATGAAACCCAGCTTCCTAACTAATGATAGCCGTCCATTTACCCGAAGCCAAGCTGCACTAAAGACCTCCATTAAAGCAACACAATGCTGCCAGCCAATCAAGATACAAAAAGAGCCAAAAAACAGACAGAAGATATTAGAGACACCAATCAAGCAGAACACAGCAAACTCCGAGACCAATAAACACAGACCAAGACTCCCAACCAATCAGGATGAAGAAAAAACCATTCTGGCACAGCAATAGGCTGCCCCAAATTTAAATCTGAAACCACTGTAAAAGTCTGACCCACAGACGGACACAATACAGAAGCCTGATGATGGCAGATGAGATTCTGTTAGCAATTATTTCTTAATCTCAAATATTCTCCATTTGCCAAACATTTTAAAATCTAATTATACATATCTAACTATACATGTCCTAGGGGGAAAGCTTCACGTGTACTTAGTTATTTATGCACTTTATCTACACTTTATCAATGCAAATGGAAAGCAGGCAATTTCCAGAAATTAAAACAAACTTTCCATCAATCAAACTCCTTACATTTCCAGGCCTAAACGCTTCTCCCTCCTAATAGCAGGCTTTCCCCAAAGTTCCCTTCCAGATGATACATCTAGAAATTTCCCCACTTTTGTAGACTTACATATCCCCTTTCTAATACCCTCTGCTTACTAGGGAGATGACAAGCTCAGACCAATGCAGCAGCAATTCTGCATGGGAATCAATCTTACTGAATCCAGTGGAGCTGATTTCTGAATAGATATAGACATTTGAGCCAAGCTTACATTACATGGCCAGTCAAAAAGGCCTTTTTTAAATAAAAGGAAACCTTTAAAAGGTTTTCATCTCCAGCTATGTACATGTTCTACCAGATCTCTATTTTACCTGTCTTTGCCATGTTCTCCCCATATGTCATTCCTTGGAGGTTATAAAAAAATCCAGTCTCATAGTCCACTAATTAAAAAGCCCAGCCTGCAAAGAAAATGAAATAAAACACTTGAAACAAGGGAGAAAAAAAATGAAAAGAAATGGCAATATCAAGGGGGGGAAAGTCAAAAAGAGATTCTAAAGTAGCTTTCTTCTTCACCCAAAGATATGAATTATCAGGGTGGAAGTCAGGATAGAGCCCAAAGCTCAGTGATTGAACATAGACCTTGCAAACAGAAAATCCAATTTCAGCCTCTGATATTTGTAGATCAATTTTCTAAAGATCAGCAACAAGTGATATGAAGAATTCTCTGCCTGACACCCTGGAGAGGTCTTGCCAATCAGAGTAGACAAAACTGGACTAGGTACATGCAGTACCAGGCAGCTTCCTCCGAATGGATAAATTACATTTTCTTGCTCAATGAGGACAATTAAAATGTCAAATTAGTCTGATAATCAAGACTCACAGACTGCTGAACTATGAATTCATTTTGCATTTCTCTTTTCAGCATGAAAAATAAACATGACAACCCAGACAGTTTTCCTTTTCAAGGAATTATTCGGATAGATACCAACTTAAGAGAGATGCCTGCAACAGAGAAAAAGAGCAAGATAATAATTTCCTTTGTTACTTCAGTTGGGTCCTGGTAGATTCTGAGGATGCATTCTTCACTGATACATGCAACATGAGAACTCAGCTTTATAAATAATTAAACAAGCTTATTTACTAGTAATAGGAACCCTTTAGAAAATGAGATGTGGTAACTTTCCAAAGCCCAAATCATTAGTCAGTCACTATTATGGCACAAATAATCCTGTGTGTACTATTAAAATCCACCTCCACAAAGGAATGCGGAAGAAGAGCAATAAACTTTGAATCACACAAAAATGCCCTGGTGTGCAAATTACTCCATATTTTATTTGAAGTTAAGTAGGACAAGTTTTGCATCCATGCCTGAACAATGGGCAAACTCTCTAAGCTTTTGAATAAAATATATAAAAATATATAATAAAATAATTTTTAAACTAACAAGGGACAACAGAAATCAAAATTACATACTTTCATGTATGCAGACATCTATAAGGGTGGAAAACTCATCTGTTCTTTTTATACAGAGTATCATAGAATAACAAGAGTTGGAAGGGACCTTGGAGGTCATCTAGTCCAACCCCCTGCTCCAGCAGGAGAGTCTACTCAAAATATTAGCCTCTATCTAGGATCAAACTCACCTCTAGGCTCCACCTCTAGGCCACCCGATCTGCCATACCATGGTCTGAAAAGCTAAACTTTTTCTATGCCTGAAGAAAAATTTTATGAGTACAAATCCTTTATTAGGGAATTTGAATTCCATACATTCATTTGTATGTTTGATTTTAATTATTAAATAATTTACTCATTTAATCATATAACATAACATGAATATGTAACACTAATTTTACTTACTGCAGAAGAGATGCATGCTTTGTCTGGGCATTTTTCCTCCTCCTCCTTCTTTTTTTGCACATAACAGACATCTCTAATTATTAAAAACCAAGAAAAAAGCTCCTAAGTCAGATCAAATACTGCACTTTTTATTCAGGGATATATTCCTACATTAACCATCAAGAAAGCCCAGAAGATACTTTCTGACTTGGGATTTATTTTATCAATGGCTAGCTGAAAAAAACAGGAGCTAGATACAGGGAAATATATGGAAAGGATCAGTGATATAAGGAAGGTATGTTGAATTGGTTAAGTAAATAATATTGTTATTATTATTATTGACACTAATAATTAATATCAAGGTAATTAATATTGTTGTAAATATTTTGATTATTTCCTAAAAATATTTGTACCCAGACAACACACTGTTCAATTGAAATTGGAATTTTTATATGCTATAAAATAAAAACTCGAATTAAAAAAAAAGCCCAGAAGCCAAACAGGAGAAGCAATACTCCCCCCCCCCCCAATCACCACTATTTCTATTCTGAAATTGTTACTTTCAGATATACTGCCTTTGATTCTGGAGGAACACCAAAGAACCAACTTTTTGCAGTGGGTAGTCTCTTTGTCCTATGTGGTTGTTCGAAGTCAATATCCATTTGACATACAAGCAATCAAAATCAATTTCTCTGTGTCAGCTGACAAAGACCACAAAAGGGAGAGATAATGTTAGAATGTCACTGGAGAAGGTGAGATAGATTTTTTTTTTTAATTTGGCTCTACTCCCCTTTTCTAATCTTTTTTTTTTAATTATTAAATGAGCTGGATTAAAGGCTATCAGTGGCTCAGCATATCCATTTTTTTGTTCCTGAAAAAAAAAAAAAGATGAAAATCACCTGGTTATTTTTGTCAGCTTGAAACAAATTGAAAAGGTACATTTTCCGGGGACAAAAATGACACACGTCACAGTCTCCCCCCGAAATACTCATGGCCAGCAATGCTTTGGGACCAAGGTAGCCTTCTAGCTGCCTAACGCCCTTTAAAACCGCCCTAGCAGCTGACGCTCATCTGTACATGAACAATAAACAAGCAGACGAGCTTTACGGGTTGCCTCGCGTCCTTTCCCTCCTTGGGAAAAGACCTGAGGGGGGTTCCAGTTACGTCAACCATTGAAGGGAGGGGAGCGGGGACCCAATTCCCACAAGCCACACCCATTACTGTGGTGCACTGTTTCTCAATCACAGCAACTTTCATAGGAGTGGACTTCAACTCCCAGAAATCCTTGCTAGCTGGGGAATTCTGGGAGTTGAAGTCCATAAGTCTTAAAACACCGCTTTGCCTATTCTCTGAGCTCCATGCTTACGCTTCACTCCCCCTCCCCACCAATGCTAATCGAAACACAGCAATGCTCTGCCAGGCGGGTCTTTCCTCTTTTTTTTTTTTTTTTTTTTACGATCACCCGAAAGAATCTATCATCTGGGCCAGATTGCGGCAAGATTCCTCCCGGCTGCGTGTGATGGGCCGGGCAGCAAAAAACAAAAACACCCGGATCCTCCTTTTCCACTTTATTGGATGAAGAATTAGACCAAGTATTATTTTTTTCTCCTCTCCCAAACCAGCCTAACGCAGGCCGTCGCCATTCCTTCCACCTTGAAACTGGATAGGCTCCGAATTAACCGCACGGGAAGCCTCCTCCTCCTCCTCACGGGGGAACTGAGAGGGCGGCGCGACTCAATTACTCTTTTTGCGTCGTGAGGCAACCGCCGAGGCTCGGCCTCTCGCTGGATCCGCCTCTTTCGGCGCTGGCCCCGCTGGGGAGGAGTCCTCATGGCAATGGGCGAGCCTCCGGGTCCAAAAGCACAAGGCAGCCCGACAGATGGGCGGCTACCCGCCTGCCGCAAAGGGGGCCGACGGTTCGGGCTTGTCAGCGTCCTCCGGATGACGGGCAACCTGGACGGATTCGGCGGGAGCTCCTCTGCCCCGGCCGCCGCTTTGGGATGCTGAGCCGCCGCCGCCTCGTCAGCATGTGAGGCATCGCTGCAGGAAGTGCTGGAGAGAGTTGAGGCGAGGGGCGGCTCTCCGAGAGAGAGTTGAAGCGGCTTTCCTTCGGGCGCGGCTCACGAGGGAAATCAGGCCGAGCGACCCTCTCCCCCCCCCCCCCCCCCCCCCCCCCCCGCCCGGGGGCCCCCCCCCCCCCCCCCCCCCGCGCCCGTCCCTTCAGCCGGGGACGCAGCTGCCGCCTCACCCGGAGCAGACGGCAGCCCGCGGCGCGGCGCCCACCCCAGCTGCAAAGGAGCGCCTCCTCCTGCGATGCCGGTTTTAATTTCTCCTGAAGGGCAGCCGAGAGACGTCAGCTTGCGTGAATGGGCGAGACTGATGCCCTTTTAATTAGGGTTTTCCAGCTCGAGCTTCCCCCCCACTCCACACCCCATAAGGCTAAGACCTGCGGTTAAAAGATGTACACGTTTGTGGTGCGAGACGAAAACAGCAGCATCTATGCTGAAGTCTCTAAGATTCTCCTCTCCACGGGACAATGGAAGAGGCTCAAAAGAGATAATCCCAGATTCAACCTCATGTTGGGCGAGAGAAACAGGCTGCCTTTCGGGAGACTGGGTAAGCACGCCGCACGCGCGAAACCTGGGCACACCCGGCCGGGTTGCGGGCGGGCGCGCAAAGCCTGAGGCAACCTTTCTGCGGAGCTCGTGGGGGGAAAAGGGGGGTCTTGGCTTTTTCCAAGCCCCGGCACCTGATCGGCCTCCAAAGAACCCACTGATCTGCATGCGGCGGCCGAAGTTTGGAAGTGCTGGCGAGAGGGGTGCGGTAGGGAACGCCTGCCAAACCGGGGTCTGCAGGTGTTAGCAATGGGGTGTTGCCTGCTGCAACATTAGGAGTGACTTTATCCTTAGCAAGCTAATGAGACTAGCTGGATGCCAGGTTGTGAAAAGGGTGGATGAATATATACATATCTGTTGGGGTTAGAAAATATTGCTGGGAAATACAGATACTGATATGTTTGTTTGTATTTTCTTGTTTAAAGCGGGACAGAATCATCCGTTAAGTTAGCATTGTTACCGATATCTTTATTTTGCAACAATATATTCACTCCCCTGGAAAATAGATATCTAAAATCATAATAAAATTACAGTAATAATAGTTTTTACAGCTTTTGTAACAATTGATGCTGTATTCAAATTGGTATGTCAGTGATTTTTTTTCCAGTATGAATGCAACTTTGCTGACTCCTTTTGGGATTTAAAAAATTCCTTTTTTGCTTTTGCAATAATACTTTATGTTGCTCACCAATAGCAGACTATTGAGCATGATTGTGTCAGAAGTCAGGCATCAAGTTATCTGTCTTTTTCTTCAAATTGCTTTGAACTGGGTATATTTAAATAGCCTACAGACTGGATATTCTATGAGGAGTGAATTTTAAAGAGTGGATATATTCCTTGAAATGATTCATAATAAAGGCAGAGGGAAAAATCTCTAAGCATTTCTAATTTCCATAACCCATTGAGAATATTACAGTATGCATTGATGAGTGTTTTAGTATTGCAATCCCCATTCACTTGGGAGCAAGCTCCAGGAACCTCAAATGGGATTTAGCTTTGAGTAGATCCATGTAGTATTGTGCTACATGTCTCTGTTAAATTGTGACTAAGGCCAGGATTATGAATATAATGGATTTTTACAATGATTTTTATTCAAGTGAATTGTGAAATGTTTTTCCACCCTGGGATAATCTTTGAGAAATACTAACAATTATTAAATCAAAAAAAGCAATTAACGTTTATAAATAAGCAACAGGCTTCTTTAACTTGGCATCTTTCAATCCGACTCCCTGAATTCTCAGTCTGTATGGCATGAAACTTTGAACTGAATTGTTCAACTTTTCAGTGGAAGAAATTTGTAGAATCCATTTTCTCCCACTGAAAAGTGGATAAGCAATACAGTTCAAAGTTTTATGCCTTACTGATTGAGAATTCAGGGAGTTGGACTGAAAGATGCCTCTGGCTATAATTTAAAAGAAGAGGCTTTTTTTCAAGTGGGCTGTTTTAAAATTCAGTTCATGGACTCTGCATTAGCCTTTCAAAAACAAAGAAAAAGAATGGCTTCCTTTTATATAGTGGCTTCTTATATTATTGTGAGGTTAGAAAGTCACAACAATCATTCCATTTATTGTTAAATTGCATGCAGGTTTCACTGGCATCAGAAGGAAACAGAGTCACCCAGGCCTCTGGATGGCCTTGGTTGAACTCACAAGCTGAGTAGCATTGAGCTTAGTTAGAACTTAACTGGGCACCTCTAGAGCAGGGCTCCCCAACCGCCGGTCCGCGGACCGGTACCGGGCCGCGGAACAACCCTTACCGGGCCGCTGGTTGCTGGGCGCCGCCATCTTTTTTTTGGTAAAAAAGCGCTTCCGGGTAGAAAGCTTCCGGTGACGTCACCGGAAGCGCCTTTTCGTCATAAAAAGATGGCGGCGCCCAGTTGACGCCGGTACCGGGCCGCGGCGCCCAGCTGATGTCGGAACCGGGCCGCGGCGTCGAAAAGGTTGGGGATCCCTGCTCTAGAGAATTCTAGGACTATAGCTAAGACTGAAGTCACCAAACCCTCCATCCCCCAGGACAATTGCAAATTACTATGAAACTCCTGCCAAGAAAATGACTTGGTTATTCCTTATAGATACAAGGAATTGAGCTCAACTTGAAAGGTTTTGCTTTTACATTTATATGTATGGTTAATCTGGAGATCTCTTTGGATTTAATCCAGAAATAAAGGCAATTGTTAAGAGAGGGCTGTGCTCTCCTCTGATTTTTTTTAGAGGTTGGACAATTATCTGTTAAGAGATGCTTTAATCTGGATTCTTGCATGAAGTAGCAGATTGAACCTCAGGTCCTTATTGGCTTCTTTTAATTCTACAATGGTATGACTTGCTGAATGTGGAAAATTACCTGGAATGACTGGAACAGGGGGACCAAGTCCTATAAGTATGCTTAGCTAAGGATATTTATTACCACTGAAGGTAATAGCATAACTATCTTCAATTAAACACTAGAACAAATCTGCCCCTTTTGATTCTCCAAACTTTCCCAAGTTTGTATCCTCCCAATATGTGAATTGACTACGACTCCATTCTTGCTCACCGTTAATGATTATAGCCTAAAAACAAGTTTAAGAAAGCATGCTCCAGAGGGTGAGCTCTGAACCAATAGACTAATATTTAACAAAACATTTAACTAAAAGTAAAAAGTGTAAAAGTTTGTACGCTGAAAGCATAACTAAAACCAACCTATTTTAACCTGTATAAGAGGTGAGGGAGCTCATGTTTTTGAGGATGTGAAAAAAAAGAGGAGAAAGCAAAACAACCTAGAAAATGCAAAATATTGCAAGAACCAGTAAAAAGTATTGAATCATACCCAAAATTCTGCTTTAAAGCAACAGAGAATTGTGGTACCTCAAGGACTAACAGATCTCTAGATCTACTTTTCACTCTTAGTTCCTGAAAAATGGTTCGTTACATTTGAATTGGAAAGATGTAACTGATTTACATGCAACTTACAGATTTCTATTCAATATAGACCAGGGGTCTTCAAACTTGACAGCTTTAAGACTTGTGGACTTCAACTCCCAGAATTCTTCCTCCATTCATGTTAGCTCAAGAATTCTGGGAGTTGAAGTCCACTAGTTAAACTTGCCAAGTTTGAAGACCCTTGATATAGACATACCTCTTGCTTTCCAAACACTGTTCTTGTGGAGGATGTTTAGAGTGGTTTAACACTAATATTTCTCTGGAAATTTTATGTTGTTTGACAAAAAAATTGCCTCTCCTTTGAATTTGGTAGTAAAACAGAAAATTCAAAACAAATGTATGGTCATAACATTGCAGCTGTGGTTTTTATACTGAACTGGATCCTACTTAAACAAATCAAACAAGACCTTATGACCCATTTATTAAAAGAAGAGGTAGAATTATTGAAACTGCCTTGGGGTATTATGATTTTTTGAGATTTTTATGAGATTGTTTGCATTGTTCTGCTCCCTTGACTGTACCTCCTTCCAAAAAAGTATTTACTCTGTGATTTACACCTGCTGCAAATCTTAGCCATGATTTCAAAAAAAAAAAAATTACTTTTGCTTCTGTTTTTGAAGTTGGAATGAAATAAACTGGTAATTGGAGACTGCCACACTAAAACTCGGCCTTCCTGTCTCCCCTGGCCAGTATATTGCCTGGAAGTATGAGGAATTAGAGTGCAATACATCTGGAGGACATCAGTTTGGAGTCAGCCGCTAAGTGATACTGGCGGTTGCTTAATTTAAAATAGGATGAGTGCTCCAGCAAATGCCAGGGTGTATAATGTTGTAAACATTCTGACTGTATAATGGATTGCGTGCTTTTTTGTGCTGATGGCCATTATTCAGTATATGAGTAAGCAAAATAAGATGCCACAGCAAAAAGTTTAATGTAAAGAAAAATACGCTTATTTAAGAGAAGTATTCATTATGCATCCAAGTCGTAAATCATATTTTCGGCAGAAGGCAAAATCCTGTGGAACATTTATGCTACAAAACATTCATGGTAGTGTAAATGTTGGTGTGGTTCCATTGTCGGACACACTATGGCTGAAATGGAACGACTACAAATTCTGGGCCAAGAAGGGTATCTGTGTTACTTTGGCAATCAATTTTGTTTTTTTTCTCCCCCCTCCCCCCATCTATATACTGTTAATGATACCAAGGCTGGGAATTGATAGATTTTAGGAAATCGTTTGATTTCTCTTTTAAATGCAACAGTCCTGTTAGCGAGGAATTAGTTAGTTAGGCTGAGCTATCCTACGTCTGGTTACATTTTGTTTCTTCTTCAAATTCTGCTTCTACGTTAAAAATTTGGGGATAATGGGCTCAGAATGCCTCACTAGCAAAGGAATTAGCAGGCTCCCTGATGTTAAACAAACTATTATGGTGGCAGTGCCTTCTAGTTCAGATTGTCTTCCCTGCTAGGTTTCTCTTGATCTCGAGAGGAAAGTGATTTGATTAATCTTGCTTAGGTGGTAACAAGGGAAGGGCATAGGCACAATGATTTTATTATTAAAATGTTCTGGGTTTGAAATGTAATGTTCTGGGTTTGAAGCAGAAATACATGAATATGGCACCGTTTTGCAAGTCCTTAAACCAAACATGCCTTTTTCTGGGCTCACATCACGGCTCCTGGAGGGCTGAGGAGTGAGGACTGATAGCTTAGTCATCCTGGCAAATGGATGCTTTGAGGAGTTACCAACTTGTGTGAAAGCAGCTTTCTGCTCTACCCAGCCATAATATTGATACTTTATAACCACCCGTCCTAACCCAATATGCTGCTCCACCTGTTTTAGAGTTGCAGTTCCCAGAATTCCTAGCCAGCATAGCTAAGTCTAACAAGTGGGTCAGCCACAAGCTTTTGCAAGGCTAAGCTGCCTCCAAATATTCCAACCCAGCTGGAGATTGCCAGGTTGGAAAAGCTTGCCCATGTTGGTTTTGACAAATCAAGAACAGATAAACTGAGTTTTTTTCTATCCCGTATGAAACTTGAAGAAAAAAATTAATAAATTCTAATTGCTTTGATTCTGCTGGCAAGCTGCTCAGATTTTGCTTTTAATAATTTCATTACTTTTTGATGCCTTTTTCATTTAAAAGGCATCAAAAAGTAATGAAATTATTAAAAGCAAAATCTGAGCAGCTTGCCAGCAGAATCAAAGCAATTAGAACTGAGGATCGAGTAACATGAGTCAGCAGTGAGAGGGGTCTGTTTAAAAGACTAATGGATTGCATTAGCAGAGGCTTTTTGCCCATCAGCATCATAAGCAGGGAGAAAGCGACAAAATTATATTATGAGGTCATGATTCAAACCTTATGACTTATATTCTTGTCTCCAGTGTTGAGACACAAGTACAAAAGGATAGAGATTGTGTCCTGACATTGTTGCATGGCTGTCATCTTTTTCTATATAATTGTAGTTATCTGTGGATGTCTCTGTTTACGTCCACCTTTCAAGAATGGTACTGGAGAGGAAAGATGATGATGCAATTTGTTCAGGTTTGGAAACTTTGAGGCATTCGACGCAGTTTCAAAAAAGGAGTATAAGTGCTGCATGATATCTTTAAGTAATGGAGATGAGAGATATTTATGCGAGGGAAGGGAAGATTGGGTTGCAGAATAGGTAAGAAAGCAAAGGCTATAGTTTTGCAAAAATGAATTACAGCCTCCAAAAGTGAGAACCTAAAAGACAAAAAACCTGAAGAAACATAACAATCTTTGGGGATTTTCAGAATGAGAAGCAAAATATTTAAGCTGCAATGATTTATTTCCTTTACTTTAATTTAAGAAAAAGATCAATAGGTGTGGTTTTCCTGCCATAATTGACAAATCAAAGTCTCTGCATCTAAAATTTCAGTTCATCAGAACTGAATAAGAAAATAGAATAAAAGCTTTCTGGCAAGAATATAATGTATTCTTTTGAAGAGCATGAAGCTCCAGCGTCAGTTATATATCCGTGGTCTTAGACTTTCTAAATATTCACATTTTTTTTAGAAAAAAAGAAAAGAAAAATTAGAAAACATTCTGTATATAGTTTTTACATATTATATTGAATCTCATTTTTTGATTTATTACTGTTGACAGTTTTGGGGTATTGAGAGGTTTATCCTCTCAATACATTTCTGATTCTGAAAACTGTAGGTTACTTGGATTGAAAAAGCTCCTTGATTCTTTTACATATTATCTGTATATGGGAACCATAATGTTCTAATTCAATAGTTAGTTACTACAAAGTAATAGACAATATGGAGGAAGGAATAAAAGGGAACAATGCACAGGAATCTTGTCTTACTGCATTAATTTTTTTAGAAAAAATATGTTCAATTTTTTTCTTTGCTTACTGGTCCTATAGTATTTTTGGGGTGGGAGGAATGGAATCCTCCTTCTCTTTATTAACTGTGGCAATACTTGCTAAGTACATTTGATAAAGGAGTCATAGAAAATTTCTCTAATCTTGTCAAATTCTTCAAGCAGCCCCCCCCCCCAAAAGGTGGGCAAGGCTGAATACAGTTAAACCTAGATCTAAATCAAAACATGTCATGTAACACGCTCAGAACAATTTCTTTTCAAGAGCCCAGCTGGTTCCTGGTAAGGTATTGTGAGTGCTTTGCAGGAATTGCTCATTGAAAATTCATCCAAGATTGGTCAAAAAAAAACCCACCCCTGAAAGATTTGCTGATGAATGCTTGAGGCAATTCAGACTTTTCCATAAAAGAACTGCCTTCATTTTTAAGCAAAGATACCATAATAAGATGCCTAAGTTCAGTGTAATTGAGTTGCTTGCCAATGATTTCCAGCATCAATGAGTGCAACCCAGGAATCAAAAAGTCATTCTGTTTGTGATCTTCATCCTTTGGCCTGCTGGTCTTCCCAACATCTGCTGACAGATCACCCACATTTCAAGGTGTTAGAGACTGAATCTGTGATATTGCATGTAAAGCAGGTTGTCTTCTAGTGAAGCGTAGCAAAACATAGGGGATCTAATTTCATCTAGGAAGTCTTCACATTCTTTTTGTTGATCTGGAACTAGATAGAGATGGTTAGCAATATCCTGTCACTATTTAGATAGTGTTATTTATTAGCCCATGCATAATTATGGGGAGAGGTTTTAATCATCTTCCAACAATATGTATTTAACTCAAATATATGCAAGATATACAAGTTGCTGATATTAAAAATTCTGCAGTAAAAAAACTTTATTTTTAAAAGTGGAGATTAATAATGGTGTTTGTTTTCTTAAGTTTTCACGGGTACTTACATGTATGGTATTCAGCTTTATTTGGGTATTTTCCCACGTCATTATAGTTGTGCTTTTAAAGTTGTAGCAACGTTTCGGCAGAATCTCATCTGCCATCATCAGGCTTCTGTATTGTATTCGTCTGTGAGTCAGACTTTCACAGTTGTTTCAGTTTTAAATTTGGGGCTAGCCTACTGCTGTGCCAGAATGTTTTTTTCTTCATCCTGATTGGTTGGGAGTCTTGGTCTGTGTTTATTGGTCTTGGAGTTCGCTGTGTTCTGCTTGATTGGTGTTTCTAATATCTTCTGTCTGTTTTGTGGCTTTTTTTGTGTCTTGATTGGCTGGCAACATTGTGTTCCTGTATTGGAGGCTTTTAGTGCAGCTTGGCTCCGAGTAAATGGACGGCTATCATTTGTTAGGAAGCTAGGTTTCATCTGGGTGCCAGGTTGGGGTGTGTTTGAGCTGGAGGTATCAGGGGGGATCTGTTTGTGCCCAGGTGTTTGCCTGGCTAGTGGTGTGGAGATTTTTTTGTTTGTGAGTGCAGGCTTCCAAATGATTGACAGTCTGGTGGAATCATCTCTTCTATTCATGCTTTCAGGTCTTTTTTTCAATCTCTATGGCTTCTCTGATAATTCTGTGGCTGGGGTTTTCTATAGTGGCTAGGGTTTTGGTGCCATTGAAGTTGATGCTATGACCTGTGGCTTTCATGTGTTGGACTAGTGAGGAAGTGTGTTCCAGCTTTTTTACTGCATTTTTGTGTTCATCCAGGCGGATACTTATTCTTCTATTGGTCTGTCCAATGTATGTGGCCGGGCATGATGCACAAGGGATAATAATGGTGTTATCTATATAAATGCTTGTTTATATTTGTTTAAAAGATTTTCAAAATGCAAACAACATGGATATTAACCTTCCCTTTTCATAGGTCATGAACCTGGACTTACACAGTTGGTGAACTACTACAGAGGGGCTGATAAACTTTGTCGAAAAGCTTCTTTGGTGAGGTAAGATATTTTTGCTTGCTTGTTTACATGTAAGAGTGGGGGCCATTCTAATCTCTGGAGGAATGATGTTCCAGAGAGAGGGAGCCACCATGGAGAAGGCCCTTCTTTTGGGTCCCTTCTTCTATATCTCCCTTACCCGCAGCATTCACTGCCTCCCCACTCTGATGGGTCATGTAGATGTGACCGGCAAGAGACGGTCCCTCAGATAACCTGGTCCCAAGCCATGAAGGGCTTTAAAGGTGACAACCAGCACCTTGAATTGCACCCGGAAGCAAATCGGCAATCAATGCAGCTCGCACAGGAGAGGTGATACATGTGCAGTTCTCCTCTTGGTTACTTTCTCGGTGCTGCCATTTGACTGTCAATTAATTTCAAATACAGGATATTTCCTGCAGCCTTGTGACTTCAAACTGGCATTGCCTCATTTTCAGATAGGGCTGCTCAATAATTACTTTCAGGTCACAGATCTTGGGAACTGGAATGAGTTTTGAATATAATTGATAACCTTCTGTTCATGTTCCTTAATAGCAGCAAAACAAATACTTTTCTGGAAGGTAGAGCCTCTTTCAACTTGTAAGGCTATGAAAAGCCAAATATATATATTTTAAAGAATCAATAAATAATATGGCTAAAGGGATTACTTTATAATGCTTCTAGACTTGTGCTGCTTGGCAAAAATTGCATGATGGGCCACTCTCTTTCAGTGAAAAGGAGTGCTGCAGGGCATGTTTTAATGGATAATACACATTTGGATTATATGTAACCTTTATGCTCTGTTGATTTACATATACTAATAAGCCTTAAGGATATGAAATCCATTAAATTCTGGTTGGCATTTCAAACCTCTGACCTTTCTTGAAACATAAAATAAAATGCTTGTGGGCTTTGCTAAATGTTTTACTGTGTTTTAGGATTCATTTAAAAATCTTGCAAAATGTATAGCAGTTTTGCCCTTTGGTTTTCAGAAATTTTAACTGGCACAACAAGAATATCTTCTTTAAACTGTTGGTAAATTTGATTCCAAACCAGTCTTTTCCAGCCAATTATTTGTAGAATATTGTTGCTCACCAAAACTGTCTGGTCCATTAATCCATTAAATTCTTATTCAGCTTTATGCCATTTTTTGTATTAAGTTACTAGTTAGCTTTTATTCTATTCTGAATTGAAGTTTTTACACACTACCTATTTACCATGTAGTTTTGCAAATTGTTTTTTGGAAGACCTCTTAACTGTAAAATAATTATAAATCCTGGGGTGATTAGAAAACAAGGTCCAGTGTCCTTAAAGGCTGTCCAAAATCCAGTGTCCTTAAAGGCTCTGTTAAGAGCTTGATGGTTTTCTGTCTCTTGGATGCCAAGGCCTGCAGCAGGGGTCTCCAAATTTGGCAACTTTAAAAATTGTGGACTTCAACTCTGGAAATTGAAGTCCACAAGTCTTAAAGTTGCCAAGTTTGGGCACCCCTGACCTGCAGGATGACTACTAACCTGAAGTCTCCTCATGAACAATAGCCATCTGAGAAGAATCTCACATCCTCTCATTTATTCAGAAAGATTCTGATAAACTGAGCTTGGTGCCTGGTCATTGCTATGGTATCATCTCGGCTCTTTCACTCACAGCTATTTCACCATTTACTTCATCCAAAACTTTATTTGATAATGCCTGGGAGTTTTAAAGTTATAAGCTCAACGTATTTCGAGAGTGCAAGTTGGGTGGGGAAGTCTATCTCAGAATTATCAAGGCATTTGATTGAAAATAGCACCCGATTGTGAGCAAAGTCATTTTAGGGGGGAAATTTTTTAAAATGAACTTGTCACAGTTTGGAAGATAAAATTTATGCTGGCGGTTATAGTGAAGCTTGCTTTCATTTTCTTATAATATGGAAAAAGTGTAAAGATGTTTTTTCTCTTTTTCTCTATAACATCAAATCTGAACAATTCTAACCAGGTTGAATGGTGAGAGGTTTGGGGATAGATAAAAGGGTGTATTCATTTAGGAGACAGTTAAATTGTGCAGGTCATTACGTATCAGGCATCATGAAATACATTGGCTGCCGCCTTAAAATAGCTTTATGGTAATACAATTAGAATGTGATTTCATAAGGGATAAGATTATCAAAACACTACCTTTCACCCAAGATCAGGATCATCATGTTCACAAATACAATAATTACTTCCCATGTAAACATTATTAATACATGAAATAGATACGAATAAAAGGAAACATTAAGACAGGGACAGTAGGCACGTTGGTGCGCTGATGCACACCCCTGTGTTGGAGGCAATTCACAGTAATATGAAAGATGTTTAAATCAACAAGACCAGCTAAGATATATCTATATCTATATATAAAATCTCCCTCTCCTCCCCCCCCATGTGTGTGTGTGTGTGTGTAGATTAATCAAGACAAGTCCTGAATTGGTGGAGGCTTGCACGTGGTTTCCAGAATCCTATGTGATTTATCCAACCAATTTGAAGACCCCAGTAGCTCCAGCTGAGAATGGCCTTCATCATCTGATAAACAACACAAGAACAGATGAAAGAGAAGTCTTTCTGTCATCCTATCAGAAGAGGAAAGAGAGTGGAGAAGGAAATGTGTGGATAGCCAAATCTTCAGCAGGAGCCAAAGGTTAATTTCTGACAAAGACTCTGGAATGCATTTTTTAAATTTATCCAAGAGAAGTTAGAGAGCTATGGCTTATTAATAAAAAATATCTCATATTCAAATGCCAACTTTGTTATTCAATCACTGATTGGCTTTGATTCAGACATGTTCTCCTGGGTTCCATGGGTAAATTACTATTTGGTGCTAAGCCACAATGCGGTGTGTTTGTTTTATACCTAGTGTGTCTCATGAGCTCAACTGTTGCATTTTTCGATCAAATTTTGGGCTTGTTGGGATACATTAGCAATACATGGCCTATTTGAGAAACCATGGGTAAAATAAACCATGGTATAGCTTGATATGCAAATTCAGCCAGGATAATTTAGCATAACAGAATCTGGAGACTGATACTAAAGCCAGTTTAAAAATTATTCCCTTCCCTAAGGTCAAATATTGTGTAGTAACTTTCTTGCAGATCTGTTGAGACCACAACTCCACTGACAAAGAGAGTTATGTGAGAAAAGTAACCAAGCCTGCTTTTTGGGGCTCAGCAACAGCAGTCAAAGCTTTATTACTATACTAGGGGCCTAGAAAACTGATCTTTCTTGCAGATCTTTCGTTACCTGGCTAGGTAACACCTTCAGTGCTAGAAGAGAATGAGACTTGCTCTCTGTTTATATACAGAGCTTGCCCTGTCAGTGTTGGTGGGAGTATATTGTTCTCCTGGTAGTCCCTTGATTTCCGCTATGCTCCAGCCAGGTAATGAAATACCTACAAGAAAACAATCTAGCTCAGAGATCACCAAGGACTGCACAATTCATCCCTGTACTCTCTTATTTGTTCTATTGATATCCAAAGTTATAGGTTAAACTCCCAAAAATATTTTGAGTTACAATTTGAAGAATGGTAGGGTTGGATTGTTGATATTTTATTTAGTACTTTTCTATCCAACCCCTTATTTTTTCAATTAGGTGAAGGAATTCTTATTTCTTCAGAGGCTACTGAACTTCTGGATTTTATAGATAATCAAGGACAAGTGCATGTGATTCAAAAATACCTGGAGAAGCCTATGCTCTTAGAACCAGGTCATCGCAAATTTGATATTAGGTAATAATTTCTTTTTAAAAATATTTGGTATCTGAGGTGCTTTTCATTAATTTTCTGTCAATTTAGGTTTGTTCAAATGCATTGGATATGTGCATTTGTATTGCTGTTTTTAGTTTTGTGTAAATATTTATTTTTTAATTCACGTTAATTACCACATACTGTCAAATATTTGTTAAATCTAATTCTTCTGATTTTGAATCGTGTTACCTATTTTTTTTTAAAATCTATACACTGTAATATGTGGTGTTTTTTTAACTTTCAGAAGTTGGGTCCTAGTGGATCACCAGTATAGTATCTACCTCTATAGAGAAGGTGTTCTACGGACCTCTTCAGAACCTTACAATAGTGCTAATTTCCTGGACAAAACCTGTCATTTGACCAATCACTGCATTCAGAAAGAATATTCTAAAAACTATGGGAGATATGAAGAAGGGAATGAAATGTTTTTTGAAGAGTTTAATCAGTACCTGGTGAATACTTTGAACATTACTTTAGAAAATACAATCTTACTGCAAGTCAAAAATATAATAAGGTATGTATTTGTCTTTTATTTTCATCCCAGCCTATCTACAAGTAACTTTTTTGCACAGCTATTATTCATATATTATCTGCACTCTTAACAACCTGAGACTAGAGGCTAAGAGGCCTCTTTTTCTATTTGCAGCTATATTTAATATACACGGGCTTTATCTCCATGTTTTTGCTGCATGAAAACAATTCTAAGAATATCCAACAATTTCCTTGTCCATTATAAGTAGTCCTTGACTTAGCACCACAATTGAGCCCAAAATATCTGTTACTAAGCGAGATAGCCTGAGTTTCACCCTAGTTTATGTAAACCTCTCTTGCCACAGTTGTTAATTGAAACACAGTTGTTAGTAACATGGTTGTTAAGTGAGTCTGGCTTCCCCACTGACTTTGCTTGCCAGAAGGTAACAAATGGTGATACGTGATCCCAGGACATAACAACTGTTGTAAATACATGCCAGTTGCCAATCGTCTGAATTTTGATCATGTAACCATGGGGATACTGCAGTGGTTGTAAGTGGGAAAGAGGTCAGAAGTAACCTTTTTCACTGTTGTTAACTTCGAACGGTCACTAAACAAATGGTTGTAAGTCAAGGACCACCTGTAATTAAAGTTTCTACCATTTTGTATGTATATACTATAAGGCAAATTTAATCAGTCACAGAGTTTCTAGGCGTCTTACTTTATAGCAAGTCCACCTTCCATAAAAAATCTGTAATGTGTATCATCACGATGACTTGCATCATGTTAAGTCGATTACCTGCCATGGAATGCTGCTTGCAAACCATTTGTGCTAAAGTGAAAAGTTTAAACATTTAATACAGTTCCTAAAATAAAATTTAGGTGATTAAAGACACTAGGCTTGTCAGCTGGAAAGTTGACAGTCCAGGTTCGAGACCGGAGTGCTGTGAGATGGCATGAGCTCTCATTATTTGACCCAGCCCCTGCCCACCTAGCAGTTTGAAAGCATTTAAATGTGAATAGATAAATAGATATCACTTTGGTGGAAAAGTAACAGCATTCCGCGCTCTCGGCCATGCTGGCCACAGGATCACCAAAAAGGTCTGTGGACAATGCTGGCTCCCTCAGCTAAGAAATGGATATGAGCACCACCCCTAGAGTTGGATACAGATAGTTAGGGGAAATCTTTATCTTTATTTTAGACAATTATAGGGGGATTTGGCTTCTCTTAACTGTCTGTCTAAAAGAAACCCTCCATCGACCATTTCATTGTATGTTTTGCAAATTTTGGACAGTACAGATTTTAGCTATTGAATACAAAATCATTTAAAATCCTACTTATTGGGCTCTAGATATACTGGACCACAACTTCCACAATTTCCCACCACTTTGACCAGTACAGTTATATGGAGTCAAATCCAAAACAAATGGGAAACGGATCCTGGAAAGCTGTGATAAATACTTAACTGTTCACACAAAATGTTGAGTCAAAAGTATAAAACCACATTATGGATTTAATGCAATTTGTGAACCCATTCATTGGGAAAATTCTACCATCTAACCCTACTCAGTGACTTTATTGTTATTTTAAGCAAAGATACAGTGTTCAGTATTGGCATTTCTTTTTAATACCCTGATTTAAATATTGTAGGTGTTGGACAAAGCATAATTTAAAATAATTCAGTGATGGAATATTTCATTCTATTTACAGAAGCTGCCTTATGTGTATAGAACCTGCTATCAGTACCAAACATCTTCATTATCAGAGTTTCCAGCTCTTTGGTTTTGATTTCATGGTGGATGAGGACTTGAAAGTTTGGCTAATTGAAGTTAACGGTGCTCCTGCATGTGCCCAGTAAGCATCCTTCTAAATGTTCCCTTGAATACGTGGCATAATGTCTTCCTTAGAGTTTTATTGTAAAACTGTTTTGAACTGATAAGGCTGTCCATAGCCAGCATTGGGATAGGTGGACTATAGATTCTAGCCCCCCCTCCTTTTCCTTCTTGTTGGGATTTATTTTATTTGATCAAATTTAAATAGTTGCTGATTTCAACTTCGTTACTCTAGGTGGCTTACAAAATTAAGCAATAGTAACCCCCCCCCAAAAAAAAATATAATAGCCATAGAAGCATAAAAAGCTAAAAACAATTTTAAAATCACACAGTACAGTCAATAGGAGACCACAATCTATTCAGAACAGTACAACCATTTTACTATTGTACTGCTTGGCACCACTATCTTTACCCTAGACCAGAAGGCAAAACCATGTTTTCAGGCCTTCTGAAAGGCCATCATTAGAGGCTGCACTCTTATACAACTGCCAAGGTCAAAGCATTACAGCCTAGCCCAGCCCAACCCAGCCCAGCCTACTCTACTCTACTCTACTCTACTCTACTCTACTCTACTCTACTCTACTCCTGCCTATCTTGGATATTCCTCCTTCCCTTAACAATCTATTTTTTCCTTGCCTGTGCTCCAATCAGCCCTGATTGATTGGCTCTAAATGTCTTTCACAGTCCCAAATATTTTTTGTGTTGGAAATGGCTAATAGGAGGCAAGATCCATTGGCCTGGCTGTTACTTTTGCTCATTCTAGCTAAGGTCAGGAGATGGCCAACTGAAACCCTCTGCCTGGACAATCCTAAACTATCCTCTCTTCTAGGGAACAGCTACGTTGAGGAAATCAGATCAAATAAAATTATGTGGTAAGACAGCAATACTATAATTTAGGGAATCTACATGCTTTGTGCTTTATGTTTGCTTTAGGCTAGAGAGCTATGAAAAATAGGCAACAGAAGAGTTTTTGCTAAGGAATACATGGGAAAGACCCTAATGTATGAAGGTTTTGTTTTTTTCTATTGGTTCATCTTTCCCTAAAACTGATCTGTAGCTATTTCTCAGGGTATTGTGGCAAGGAGATATTTTCCTACCTTGCAATGTGAGGTTGATAATTATGTCTTCTGAATATAGAACATACACAAAATAATATGCTACTATTTTTCTTGGAATCACTTAGAGCATAATAAACGCAAGTCTGGCTGAATTTGAGGTACTTACAGAAATCTGGAAAAGACTTATTGGAAAGCAAATGATCTTCATTTGTGGCAACTGCATGAATGGATATTTTTCGTTTGCTTCCAAGTAACTGCTTTTAGGTCTTTATCCTGCTGGGAGTATTTGCAGGCAGAAGCTCAAAGGAGACTGCAACTGTTGCATACTTATGAAAGGAAATCCAGTGTAATCCCTTGAAGTGCAAAAGGATCAATTCAAAAAGGCTCCTCAGTGATTTTATTTACCATTCATTCCCTTCTCAGGTTTCCCCTACTTCACTGGAAAACTAATTGAAAGCTGTTCTTGCCTTCCCCTGTTAAAGAGGAGAAAGAAGCTATGAGCCACCGCTAACCCTCTTTTGTGACAAAAGCTCAATTGTATTGAAAGATTACTGGCATTTCATATCTGTTTGTAGTAACTCAAGATGCTATTTTCAGCTAGTGTCAGGAAAACAAATGGTCCAGTGATAAAGAACAAGTGTTTTGATGCATTCCTAAATCCATGGCCAGCACCTGCTGTCTGCGTGTGTTTAATACTCTTTCTGGGATGGTTGTTGACCTTCATTTTGAATCCTTGTGAATGTTTGATTGACTGGGAACCTGAAAATTATTCTCTTCCCAACACAATAATGTCAAAATCTTCACCTTTCAATTGAAATATATGAGCCTAGTTGAGATCAACTAACAGATTATAAATGATAATCACAATAAAATTAAAAATAAACAGGGCTCTCAACCATGAACTAAATGCAACTAAACAAGTTTATTGCAACTAAGTAAGTTTATTAATAACACAATGTAACATATAAACAGATTTTTTTAAAATTCAGGATATAAACAGTGGAAGGGATTTTATCAATCTCTTAGAGTAATATGATGTTCCAAATTTTAATTGCTGCAATATCCCAATGTCCATAGGATTTTTGGGATTTCACTTTCCAAAGATAAAGAAAGGACTCTAACCTTGAAAGAAGAAATCACAACATCAGAGTCTTCTTACTGTCACCTTTATCAGTCTCCAAGCCCAGCGATTCCCAACATGTAAAGTTTGGTTTCAGGAAGGTTCCAAAACTCTCACTGTGGAGATTTTACAGTGAGCTGGAGATCTGCTGAATTCTACACCCTCTTAGTGCTTATTGATTACATGTCATCAGAATGGCAGCGGTGTTCTACCTCTGCCCAAAAAGCCAACACAGTCCTAGGCTGCATGAACAGAGGGATAGAATCAAGATTACATTAGTACCACTCTATAAGACCTTCGTAAGACCACACTTGGAATATTGCATCTGGTTTTGGTCACTATATAAAAAAAAACATTAAGACTAGAAAGAATGCAGAGAAGAGCAACAAAGATGATTAAGGGATTGGAGGCTAAAACATATGAAGAATGGTTACAGGAATTGGGCATGTTTAATTTAATGAAAAGAAGGACTAGGGGTGACATGATAGTGTTCCAATGTCTCAGGGGTTGCCACAAAGAAGAGGGAGTCAAGCTATTCTCCAAAGCAGCTGAAGGCAGGACAAGAAGCAATGGATGGAAAATAATCAAGGAGAGAATCAACATAGAACTAAGGAGAAATTTCTTGACAGAACAGTTAATGGATGCTCTACTCTACACTGGAAGTTTTTAATCAAATATTGGACAACCATTTGTATGAAATGGTGTAGGGTTTCCTGCTTGAGCAGGATGTTGGACTAGAAGACCTTCAAGGTCAGTTGCAACCCTGCTATTCTTCTGTTTTAAGATGGTTGTCAGTACTTAGAGTTCATAAAGATGGATCTTCTACAGGATGGTTGGAATCCTACCTGGCCCTTTAGGTCATCCACTATTGCATCCATCAGCACTATAATCAAGTCCCAACTGCCTTGCATCTGAATCTTCCCCTGCAAGGAAAGGGCTTTGAAAAAAGTCCAGAGCAGAGTGGCTTCCTCTGTAGCCCCTGGCATCAGAGGCCTCCAGTAGGTATTGGATATCCCTGCCTATCTTTCTAACTGCAGTTTATGAAGCGGTGAAAAATAAAGTAACATGTGCTCAAGTTAGGAGCACAGAAGCAATGAACTAACAGTTGAGATCTATTCTTGTCTTCTGGGAGAGGTTAATTCCTGTCTCCTGTGGAGAAAAAGAAATCCACACTAAAATCTTATGTACATCTGCTGTAGCTTTCAGCAAGAAATATGGAAACTTCTGAGTATAATCAAAATCAATAAATCAACGGTCTTGTGACATCAGCTTTTTGACAGGGCCAAGACTGTAGTTATTCTGGATCAATGTTTGAGATGTTAATCAGTATTTTACAAGTGTAATTTTAATTACTGTTTTCCACCTTTTGGTTTTTAGGAAACTTTATGCAGAGCTTTGCCAAGGTATCATAGATGTAGCCATCTCTTGCATCTTTCCTCTGAATGATACTATTCAAAAACAGAACTTACCATCTGTATTTATAAAGTTGTCATAATTAAGGATCAAATTGAACACATTGGAAAGCGTCCACCTGTTTGGATCCAGGAAAGACCAAGAAACATTGAACATTGCATCTGCACATCATGCCAAAAAGAAGAAGGGAAAAAGTGGCATATTTTTTTTAATTTCAGAAGAGGAACATTTCAGAGGAAAGTCCCAGATGAACCAAAAAGCTCTGATTAACTCTGAATGTTTTAAAGTATTGTTACAATAACAAATCCTGTAACTGAAGCCTTTCTTTATGTTTGAGGACAACGTAATCATTTTTTTAAATGTCAGCAAAATCCAGGGGTATGATCAAGTCTTGTCTTTATCTATCTTTTTCCTTCTAAATTAAAAAATTGTTTTAGCAAATGCAAGTTTCAGTATCCTTGAGAAACTGAAGATTTTTCCACTAAGATTTGTCAATCTTTTCTTTCTTTACTTGCTGCAGTTCTAGTGCCTTAGCTTTGTTCCTAACAACTCTCCTAATTTGTTTTGTTTGTACAATGTTGCTTTTAAACTAAAACAGAAAAGCTGCCCTGTTTTGCGTGGTACAAAGTTTCTTCAATATCTTTGCCTTTATATATATTTATTTGTGTGTTCATTTTTTTTTTAAAAAAGGATATTCTTTGCGAGAAACTAACTGTGGGAGACTGCAAAACTGCATCCTTTTTTTTCTTCTGACAAGCTGGCACAACTGCAAAATCCTATTACATTCTTGTTTGTTTGTTTTAAATCTCATCCCTTTGCTTGTCTTTTTACCTTACGGATATGTTTCTGAGATAGTGAAATTGAAGCTTTTAAAGGACTTTGATCCTTTCCTTATTCCACAAATATTGGTTGGATCCATGCATTGCGATGATCATGATATGTGAATTCACCCAGTAAGGCATCATAATACATGGAACCCAGGCCATTATTCAATAAATCATGCTTGAATTCGGGTTAAGTAGCCATTTTATATCAGTTCACTTGGCATAGCAAAACAATGGCTTGGTTGTTGAAGTCCACATTATTCCATTTGTCTATCATTTGTGAATTCATATTCCCTTTCTAATTTGTCCAGTCTGAGTAAACTGATGCTAATCACATCCATAGTAACCAAGTCCAAATCATGATTGAAAATCCAGTTAAAACCATGTGCAAAGTGTTCTAGAGTAGACCATAGTTCTAGGGAAGGTCATTCCTGTCTCCCAAATAAGTGGCAGGGCAATTGTTTTATCCCAGCTCTGCATTTCTTGCCAGCATTAAGTAATCCCACAATAATGCAGGTAAGGTAAGGTATTGTACTATGCTACAGTTTGTTACTATATCACAATTGGTTGGTTTGCATAAGCTGAGCCAAATTAAACAAGCTACATAATGGCTTAGCATGTTTTAATTCAGGGGTCTCCAACCTTGGCAACTTTAAGACTTGTATACTTCAACTCCCAGAGTTGGCTGAGGAACTCTGGGAGTTGAAGTCCGCAAGTCTTAAAGTTGCTAAGGTTGGAGACCCCTGTTTTAATTGAAAGCCACTTTGAATGTTTTGTCTTATTGGAAAAGTGGCACATAACACTGAATAAATTGTACCATGCATGAACCCAGCCAATATGCATTAGCAGTTAACAAGCGAAGACTCTTCTCAGAACCAGCATTCTCCCTGTTGCTCTTCTAGAGAAAGAGTACATAGAAGAATGGTTGGATTTAAGAAACTTGCTGGCAGTCCATAGGAAGAGAATGGAATCTGGCCAGACATCACTCATGTCTTCATTTCATTGGTCCTCTTCCAAAATTAGGGCTGACGTGGATATGCAAACTTATAGTCAGCAAGAATGCACTCCATGAAGCAACATAAGTGGTTTTTTACAACCTATTGCTGCAAAATATCCTTTCTCAATATTAAAATAGAACTTTTCCAGAGCTATTTCATGCCTGACCTCCCTAAATTGGGCATTCTCTTATTATAATGAGAAGATAACTTCTCTTATCACTGACATAGTTTATATATTTACTAAAAGCACTGAGTCAACAGACCTTCTGATCCTAAAATTAACAATTTTATTTTAATGTATTTATTATATAAAACATTAATTCTCTCCTTGCAAGACTGCTAGTTTCTGTCTTAAGCAAACATGTTACTCAGGCCAAATGCAATGGGAAAAACACTCTAACATTTAAGGCAAGTATCCTTTTAATATTCAAAGAGGTAGGCAAAATAGTTCAGATTACATAACTGCACTATCATGATTCCTTGGAAACCTGAAAGTGTCATAAATAATAGCAAATATTGTACTGTAAACAATCTACTGTATAATCTGTTAGTGCCTTCAGAATGTTTAGCAAAAAAAGGAGACACTAACTGAAAATGTATATCCTGAACTTATATGTACTTACTTATAAATAGGTTCAGTTATTTGAAACTACCTACAGATACTTAGATCATAGCCTTATGCTGAAAATTCAGGAAGCCACAACATACTTTGCTAATATTTCTTGTTAAGATTGTTAGGCATGTCATATAAATACATTGTCATTCTAAATACCACTGCATGTTGCATGTTATAATATTTTAAGTCAAAGCTGTAGGACAGCTTTATAACTTAGGAAGATGAAATGAAATTAGCCATTTGTCAGTGGACCAATGAGTGTGATCTGGCAGATGTAAATCACCAGTTAAAAGTCTTGCTTCTATTGAAGTAAAAAAGGGAAAATTGATTGGGTGACATATTGGGAATTGTTGGAAGACGATTACCGTATTACTCCTAATTATTACATTCATAAGGTATCAACCCATTGTACTCAGAGTGACTCAGATTGAATGGGAATTACAATAATTCTACTACTACTACTACTACTACTACTACTACTACTACGTACACTCAGAGTATACATTGTATTGTTCTTGTATTGACTAACACAAGCTTATGCTTAAAATTTGCAGCCACATTTTCAAGAAGATGGCTAAACTCATTAGGATTTAAAACCAAGGAGAAATGTTGGATCAGAATGATAATTTAATTATAATAGAATGGAGAAAAGGTTTACACAGAAGAGAATGTGATCCTGAATAGAATTCATGGATATTAGACAGATAGAGGCAAGGAATTGGCAGTGTGGACTTCAACTCCCAGAATTCCTCTTGAATAACAGGCTTTTGACTTGACTAATTTGCAAGTACATACTCTGAATATAATGAAATAATGCTGGCCTAATACAAATTATATGGAGTGCTTGGAAAGATACAGTATTCCTAAATCTAAGGCATAGGAATATTCATGATTTTTGCTTGTCAGGGTTTTTTTTTTCAGCTGAGGATGTTTGCTTTGCCATGTTTATTTAACATTAAAAGAATTAAGAGAAAGGAGTGTAAGGTATGTTTGTCACCATGAATTATTTGCTAAAGTAATAAAGGTGGGATAAAAAACCAAACTAGCTATTGTAATATCCTAAGTTTTTATGCAATGCCCTAAGTTTACTAGGTAAGCTTAATTTGAGAACTGATAGCCTGAGGAATATCCTTTCAGCCATTCAGTTCTTGTTTGTAAACTGTATGGACATCCAGGTGTCTTAGGATATGCCTCATTTTACATAGTAGATGCTGAAATGTCACTGTTCATGTTTCTTAACATACTTTTCTGTTTATTGTAACCATACTGCCATATCTGTCCATTAATTATAATTTTCTCCTTATTTTTATAGAGTTATTTCAATGGCGAGGGGGGCAGGATGTAACTGTCAGTAAAACTATGATTTTCTTTAATTATGTATTATTTGCAATTAGGCCTTGCATAAGCAAAAATAATGTAGTACAATGTTATTTTCCTTTATACATGTATAAATTAAGGCAGCAAGCAAAACTGAAGCTATACAGGCAGGATAACTTTGTGAAAGAATTCATAGATGCAGAACTTACTTTTAACTTTTGGACTCAATGTTTAATACTGTAATATTTGGGAAAGCCTTATATAGGAATATTAAAATAGCACACCTGATTATTTAAAACAAAATCTCTTAAAAGGGCTGTATTCCACCTTAAGCAATTGTCTGTATGGCCTTTTCTGATATTGGTATATATTTTACACTATCTGATTTCTGTGTCTTTCATAATGTGATGGAATCATGCATGCTAGTATTTATTAGGCAGTGAAAATCCTTTGGTCAGTAGATTTATTCCAACAGAATTAGGGAACTGGGGATCTACAATCCTTCAAAGCATTTAAGTAGTAAAATCACTAAACTATAAATACTCATATACTCCGAACATTTGTTCCATAAAGTGATTGAAGTTTTATGTTAAATAGGAAAGTTTGTTCAAGAATGAATAAATAAATGGATCTGATTTGTTTCTATAGCAAACATTTAAAAATGAGGTTGTGTGTTCTGTCCAAATGTTCATGTACAATATCCAGATATTTTAGTAATGCTTTGACAATGATGGGGAGAGGAATTCTGGATACAACAGTTGAGGAAGACTGCTAGAAGAACATGTACAACTGCCAATTAAATAAATAAATACATAAATACTTAAGCCCAATCATTTCATGAATAAAGCACTAGTGGTAAGCTGATATATCTGTGCCTTTCAAGTTAATACCAGTTATTTCTGTCTTTTAAATACAGCTGCACTGCAAAGTTTGTTAATGTCATTTTATTTAACTATACAGAGCTCCCTGAAGACATGGTACTAAATTACCATGAAGCATCAATGTTTTGCAGAGGATTTGATAACAGATATTAAAAGAATCAAACAGGTCATTTCAGTTCATTTGGGGATGTTTCAAGATCAAAATACTCACCAAATACTTGAAACAAATATTTCAGATTTGCATATAAAAATTCTTTGCACCCTCAAAGATTCAGCTCTTTGAACATGCACAATTCTTTTAAACAATTAATGGCATAGCCATGTGTTTTGCTGATGGAGCAAAGGGCACAATGTGACACAAACATTATTTATACAGTGATTTTTTTCTCTTTTGTTTTTACTCCACTCTGGTGGGGCTATCCAAACCTCCTCTTTGGATTCCCTCAGCCCTATAGAAGAAATTGGAAGGAGTGGGTATGGGTAAGAGGCATTTGGGAATTTGCATGGAAAGAAGGACTAGTAGATAAAAGCAAAAGAAATATCCCCCCAATATCCTCCCAATAGGATGGTGACACTAAAAAAGAATAGTTTTTAAAATTAAAATGATTTTTAAATAGTAAATATATATGGCACCAAACTACAATTCTATGAATGTCTATGTAGAATAGTCTCCCTTTCTTCAAAAATAAGCATCCATAAGACTGAACTGTTACTCACCGGTTGACATCAGATTTGTTTCCACTAATTACCTACTTTGAATTGGTTTTGCTTTGTTTAACAATTTATGTGGTGTCCTCCAACTGATGTCTGCAGATGGAATAGACTTGGAAAGAAAATGGCCATGGATTAATAATAGACTATTATCTAAAGATAGTTTTAATTATTTTTAGTAATTAAGTAATTTTGTCAGCATTCTTAATTGTGATTAAACCCTCAACAAATATAGTAGGCAGAAATTCTATTGGTGTAGTTTTCCAGGCTAGAAGATAGTGAATTCTAATCTTGCATTAGGCACAAAGCCACCTGCTTGATTTTGGGCTGGACACACACTCCCAGTCCCAGGAAGCAAGCAATAGGAAACAACTCCTCAAATCTTGCCCCAAAAAACTGCAGAGATGAGTCCACATAGCTGCCAGGAGTCAAGGCACACACACACATCCACATAATGCACACCAAAGTTTTCCCCTATTGTAGATCCTCTACTGGATTTCTAATTTTTTTCAAATACATGCACAGTCTGCCTTTCATTCTGGGAACTTAAGAAAGCATGTGCATCATCCCCATCTCCCTGTCAGAACTAAGAGTGCATCACTGGTCCAAAGTCCCACAGCATTTGTGGCTCAGGGCAGATTTTAATCAACTTCCTAGTAAAAATTACCACTACACCACAGTGTTACTGAAATGAAGGTATAGCTCCTTTTCAATGAATCAAATGGCAAATATTTAAAATAATATCTCCTAGAATATAACAGAAACTAACAAATCCTTTCCTCCTTTGGATTTTCTCCTGTGTGTGTGTGTGTGTGTGTTATTTTAACTAACTGGAGACGACATTAGGTTCAGTTCTACCACAACTCCTCTAGCT